ATGCATCCCGGTGTACGTCCCTTAATCTGCAGCCACTTTGGATGGGACGTCTTAAGACTAACCTTGTATTTTTCCTCAAGATTTTACGCGAAATATCCTTCGCAGCCAGTGAGAAAGTCCCTTTTCACACCTGAAGGTTGCTAAAGTCTTCGTAACCAGACCTACGGTGTTGAAATGAAATCTTTTAAAACATCCCTCTGAGCTAACTTCTTCCCCATTAGATACTCGAAAATATGGACTCATCTTCCAGTTGACATCAGAGCCCGGGCTCAGCTATCCAATTTAGTCGTATGTTAGAAAGATTCCTATCCTCCTGCAAACTCTTGAACATACAGAGCGAATCACAACTATGTCTCACAACGCTCAGTACAGCAGTCCCCTTAAGTGTATGAGGTGACATACCCTGATCGATAAATCCACACTCTTCACCGAGCTGCCGAGCACAATGCAGAGCAACATGGCGGCTGCTGTGGACATATGTCCAGTTTAGCACTAACAAGCAAAAATAGATCGTTTCATCAGGAAGGTGATATATTGTTATCAGTATTATTTATTGTTGTCTACACAGTATATCTTGACGTTTCAATGAACCCGGAGGTGCATGTTCTTTGATCCTTCAAATTAAAGCGCTTGAGTAATTTAGCCAGGATTACTTTTTTCGAGCAAGAAACTGCTGAGTTACTTCCTTTTCTTTTTGAGTGATGATTTTACACATTCATCAGACATGACTATCATTTCTGCAAGATATAAGAACAACAAAAATTCTAGATTTACATTAAATGCACCATTTATATGGGGTGGGAAGTTTCCTTTTTTCTTCAGGCTGGGGATTTCCACTACTCGGAACGAAAATATGATACAAAACGTTTTTGTAAAAGAAAATATTACAGGAGATTTTGCACCACTAACTCTCATAACCGTGTCTGTAAAAATGCTATTCACCTGTAAATTCGGGAATAAATAATCATTATTACTGAGTGGCAAGAGTGTCAGCAATGTACCCCGCCAGTCACACCGGTGAGTAGTCCAAAAAGACTCAAGCGACGACCTGGTACGCGACCAACTACATTAATCCCTAGTTTTGAAGTCATTTAACTGACTGCCAAGTCCCTCACGTTTGATGACTGTAATACCACCCCGGTTGATAGCCGGTAACTTTGGCTGTCAAGAACTTTTAACCAGAGTACTGCAAACTTAGTACGCGGTAAAAGATAACATCAATAGGAACGTTCGCTGTTGTGAAAGCAGGCACAGGACACTGCGGCGACAGTAAATGACGGTGCTGAAGTCACCGTCACTGTCAACAGACAAGATGTGCAAACAAGCCTAGACTTTATGAAACCCCCAGAGACCATTGTGGGGAAAAACGTGACTGGTCCAGTTCCACTGAGGCTGGCCGTCTATAGCAAGTTTCGCCATTACGCGCAACCCCCTCCAGTCTGTCAGCACCAAGATACCCCATGTCGTTAGAAACAGCCAAATTTCTTTGCAGTAATGTGAGGGGACTTAGAAGTAAGATGGCGGAATCACGACTTCTCTGTTCCCACCTTGCTCCAACGATCATAATCCTGACAGAAACTTGGTTATCGCCGGATATTGGTGATATTAAAACTAGTGTAGACGGTACGCGTCTGTTCAGGATAGACAGGGGGTTTAAGGAAGGAGGTGGAGTGGCGGTGCTTATCAGTGATGACCTTAGAAGTGAGCGAGCAACAGAAACTCTACTTTCAGGGTTCCTGGCCTCCATCTGGTGTCAATCTAAGGTTGGACACACCAAGTACCTAGCAGGAAGTGTCTACAGAACTCCTATCAGCAAAGTGGAAGGTAACCGACAACTGCTGCAAGTAATGTACGGAGTGACGTACGCGGGATATGACCAGGCCACCATAGCCGGCGACCTTAATGTTCTGACTCTCAGTCTCGGGCAGGACAGGGGAACCCCAAGTCGAAGGTCTGACCGAAACCTACTCAACACTACCAAAAAGGCTGGACTGCATGAGAATATTGGTGATGACACTCGCTGGGGTTCGGGTGGAAAGCCGTTCAAACTGGACTATTTTTCTACCAGTGACCACCTGCTGGTGGAAAAATACAGGTTCGAAACCCCTCTGCAGCAGCAGTCACGGCGTGGTAGTGTTTGATCTGGTACTCAACAAACAACTGTCATAGGAGGGATCTCACCCTTGTCTTCGCTACAGCAAGGAGAACTACGTGGCGATGAACCAATACCTATCGACAGCACCATGGCCCCAGGAGTGGAGCAACCTGTCGATTGATTAACGCTGGGAGCCAGCTGGAGATATCATCAAGAGGGCTGTCTCTGAAAGGGTCCCTGTAATCACAGCAGTACGGCGGAAGCGAACCTCATGGCTGAGGCGAGGCAATGAACACCTTTTGAAAGCCAAGAGGAAAGCGTAGAGGACCTCTGGAAAGGAGTCTGACCACACCGCGTATATTCTCCTAAGAAATTGATGTAACATCAGGGTGGGGGGAGACAGGAGGTCAGTCAGGACGAACCCTGCCCAGAGGCTCGAGGCAAACTCCAAAAACCTGTATCAACTTACGCCAGGCAGAAAATCCACCAGCCAGGGGGCATGTGTCCCGAAAGGTCTGGACGGAGAGAGCCCCTCCGCACTAGAGATCACCGAAGCCTTTAGCACCACTCTCGAAACGTAACTGAATACGTCGAACCAAAATTGCCAAATGTCCAACCAATATTCAGCACCACCAAATGCAGTTGAGTTACCTGGAACGAGGGTAACTCCTGCTATGGTTCTCGAAAAACTATCAAAGCTCCGCGCAGGGGAATTACCAGGGTTTGATGACGTCCGACCGGCTGTGTTGAAACAGTGTGCGGGTGCCTTATGCAGTGCACCGTGTAACTTGTTTCAACACTCCTTAGACAATCACATGCTCCCATGAGAGTGGAAAAGTGCTATTCTGTCCCCCATCTTCAAAGGTGGAGACAGCCAGAACCCAAAACGCTACCAACCCACAGCCCTTTTACCAGTGGTGTCAGAAGTAATGGACAGCCTGTTAGACAGCCATATGAAGGGGCACTTAGTGACGCCCAACATGGGTTCGGAAAAGGTAGGTCCTGTGCTTCAAACATTCTGGCTGCGGGTGATAAGTGGACGGCATGCTAGGACCTCCAAATTCCTGTCCATGTTATTTTCCTGGATTTCGCTAAGGTCTTCGGCACAGTCCCGCACACCGTTCTTATTCACAAAATAGCAAGGTTGGGCATCAAGGGACAAGTGCTTTCACAGCTGCAGGACTATCTAGCCGGTAAACAATTCTGCCAAAAATCCAGCAGAGTTTGCTCAACCTGGAGGACATCACCATCTGGTGTATCACAAGGTGCGATTCTGGGTCCACTACTATTCCTTCTTTTTGTGAACGGCCTCCCACTGAATCTCAGCTCCCCAATTCTACTCCACGCTGATGACGTTAAGTTATGGAGGGCTATGACGTCGGAAACAGGATCAAGTGGGCTGCAAAGTGACCTCAGATTACTTGCAGAGTGGGTGGATATTAATAGACTTGCATTTAACCTAGATAAGTGCCAAGCCATGTTTCTCCGCACCATAGACTCGCAGAAGGTACCCTATTCTCTCTGTGGAACACAACTTTCCCGCACCACCACGGAGAAAGACCTAGGACTAATACTAACTGACAAACTGGACACTAGCTCCAATTATCCAGGAGATGCCTCCAGAGCCCACACAGTACTGCGTCTAATGCGCAGAGAACTGGGTGCCCTGACCCCAGAACTCTCTTTGAAGCTGTATAAGACCTACATACGACCCCACCTAGAAGTACACAACGTCACTGCACCACCGTATCTGAAAAGAGAGGCGAACCTCCCAGAGAAAGTCCAAAGGTGAGCTACAAAGGGTGTCGTGGGAATGAGGCGAGGACTATGTCAGGACAGGCTGAACGATCTAGGTCTCTACTACCCAAGCTACTGTAGATTACGTGGTGACTTGATAACGGCTTACAAAATACTAAGTGACCTAAGTCATCCTAACAGTGGAATCCTACAGGACGGCCACTGTGGCGATCCTTGTTGGTAACCCAAGAAGAATCGCTCACCAAAGAGCGAAAACCCATGTGCGATCACACTTCTCTCTGCTAGTTTACGGCCACTGAAACTCATTGCCTGCCAAGATTGCTACTGCACCGTCTGCTGACAGCTTCAAGAAGAGGTTGGACAGTTACGCAGAGATGCACGGTTTGCGCTCATCCAACTGGGATGTGGACTAGGCTGACACGACCTACTAATTCGGTACGGCCAGCCGTTACTGAACACTTTGTAAAACCACTATCACTGGGAACTTGGCTCAACCTTATACCTCCCTATAGACGTCACCTCCAGTTACCGTCTCCTACTAAAAGAATTACCGTATTCCCGTTCGTCCTATCACGTTATTTACTATTCTTCCTTCTGACTTTAGGTTCTGAAACTTTAACAAAAGCTCTCCCTATCACCCCTTCCCCATGGACCTACCAGTGTTTCTTCTTCAATGCCCGTTTACTTTTTCCTGATCTTTCGTTCTTTCTTTTATCCTTTTGTTTTTCTATTCTGTCTTTCTCCGCACTTTCTTCCCCTTGATTTCTCTGCACATGTTTTTCATCTTCTTTATACAACCAGTCCGACCAGTTGTCTGTTGGCACGACACCTAAGGAACCCATCTGTAACACAGTCCTCTGAAGAAAAAACAAACAAACAACACTCCCTCCAAAGTTAACCAACACCCAACAGCCCATCGGGCTAACCAGAGTTACAGCAGCCGAGTGGGTAAACCAACTGCATCGGAATCTACCAAAGACCTGGAACCTTTCCGCAGGACCTAGAAGCGAGCGCGAAGAAATCAGTTGGTTTAAACTAGCTCGTAAAAAAATTTTGGATGTTGGATATTGGATCACTAACTCTTGGAAGGATATTGAATATTGCATCTGAGTTTTGAGGTGAAGGGTGCAGTCTTCAAGATCCTGCGTTACATACAATTTGCTAATTGAGGTAGGTGCTTCTCGAGTTCCAAGTCACTTTATTCACCAATATGTACCGAAAGTGTCAACCAAAAGGGCACTGTAGTTTAGTTGTTCCCTACTGATGAGTGATTATGAACTGTAACACAACAGACTTATCAGGTTTACGATAGTGAAATTGCGTATAAGAAATTGTTGGTATAATCTAAAACTACTGTATAATTTATACTTGGCTTTATCGAAACGTCCTTCATATGCTCATATTTCAGCTTTATCACTCGGTTCCTTTTGAAACGCATGGTTTCGTGCACAGTTAAACTAATATATTAGTTATTGTGGTTTCAACAAAACAATAAAATGACGTAATTTGTTCGATTTGTGTAATGTACTTTCATGTCATTCCCAACAGTTTGATTGTTTTTGTGCTCTTCGTTAATTATTTTAAAACTAATAGTTGTATGGTACATTAATTAATGTGCATTAATGTACATAAGATCATATGTAATATCAAAATAACACTGAAGATCAATCTAGTATGAGGTGAGAGTAATTTAACTTTGATACTAAATCGAATTAGATAAAGAAGCTTTAATGTGGTGACAAATTGTTTTTGAAGGGAAGCTATCTCAAATTTACCCAGTTTGGTAAAAGGGGAAATAGGGTGGGATTGAAGAGGAATAGTAAGCAACTGAAGCAAGTTCAATGGGGAGAAGTAGACAAGTGAAAACTTAGGTTAAATGAGGAGAGTGATTTCATGGGGAAAAAAGGAAACGCGGAGAAAAGCGTGAAGAGGGGGGTGGGGGATCGATTGTATTTCCCCACGAATGTCGCTTTATTTTGCGTTGCGCTTACCCTTCATTTTCCTCTCAATTGCTGTTTATTCACTTTTCCACCTTTTTTTCGGCCCGACGAACTCCAAAGCGCATCACTACCAGGGTTTTTAAAATATTAACTTACACGTACCTCCATTTCATGTCTTGTGGTTGAAGGGCTTAGGCGTTTGTTTCCTGTATTAGTCGCATCGGGCGACTGTTTGTTTCTGAAGTTATTTTGGAATGTGTTCCGTTATCTTCAAAATCAGTAGTCACTGAATCCTCCCTATGTATGCCCAACCATCTGTACATTTTTATCGGTTAATGCAGTGGGATGTGATGTCATTGTTCGCCTGTTCCAAGGGCTTCAGTGGGTATACAAGCCTCAACTTCTGGGTTTTCCAGATCTCAGCTGCATAATATTTTTTTGATGGCGGCATTAAGTCTGTTTGACCATCAAGCTATTTGCGTCACCGCTGTTTGGTAGATTGATGTCTTATTCTTGGGAAGGCGTGGAAGTTAACTCCCAATGCTCTGTTCATTTTATGCTCACTTCCAATTATTTGAAACCCGATTGTCTGTTGAGGGTCGCGTGTACTGCACAGCAGTTCGATCTGTTCTAATGCATGCCTGTGAAACATGGCCATTGAAAGTGAAAGATATGAAAAGGCTTCAGGTGTTTGACCTCCGTTGCCTTCGTAGTATAGGCCGTATTCCCTGGTGTCACCACGTGAGTAATGCTGAAGTTAGGTGTAGAGTTTTAGGGAGCAGAGGTAAATCAGTCGACGAGGTTGCTAACCTTCATCGACTGAGATGGTTGGGATATGTATTACGCATGCCTAGTCACCGATTGCCTCGTCACAATGTTGGCCGAAGTAGGTTCAGGCTGGGAAAAGGTCCCAGGCGGCTGGACGAAAACATGGCATCAATGTATGAAGTCTTTGACCGTTATTTTGAGCTATTTAGGGCGATGCAGACTAGGTGGTTGGGGTCCGCGGAACAAGAGAAACCAATAGTTGGAGACTGACTCTAGGTGATATGACTGAGAACCGATGTCAGTGACGCAGATGTATCCCCTCACACATCATCTTCATCCTAACGCTATACCGAATCTCACCATTTTCTCATTCTTCCTTTCTCTCTCTGAGTACTTTATATTTCTTTCTACTCGGACCATTGCGTAGTAATGCCTGGTCCTATGTTGATTTAGATTGGTGATGGATGATCTCCGTGACTAATATTGTGCGTATTCGTTGAGTTGTATTGAACAAATGCCTTACTAAACCTCGTTTGTTTTGAATAAGACATTATTATTATTTGTCCCTTGGGTTCCTGGTGGAACATAGGGCTTCAATAGCACATCTCCACTTCACTCTCTTCTCAACAATCTTTTCAACCTGGCTCCACGACTGCCCAGAAGCTTTCTAATCTTCCTCACACGATCTCCTTCATGTCACCCTCGCCTCGGACACCCAACTCGTCGTTTCCCATGCAGGTTCCACTCGGGGGTCTGGCGCGTGGTGTCCCCGAATCGTCTTTTCAGTGTGTGCCCAATCCATCTCCACTTTCTTTTTCTGCATATTTGTTGGGCGATGGGTTCTCCGTTTGTTCGTTGCCGGCCAGAGTTTCTTGTTGCTTATTCTTTCTGGCCACCTGATCTTCAGTCTTGAGTGAGCGTAGTCGGCAGCTGTTGATGAATATCTGTAGTTTGTTGGAAGTGCTTTCCGTAACGCACCAAGTCTCTCAACTATCACATGGAAGCACTGACTTGACTGACATTAGCGTTGAAAATCCGAATCTTGTTGTTGATGCTGAGTGGAGTGCAGTGGGTCTCCACACTGATTTGAGATTAATGAAGATCTGTCTCGCTGTCTTTCCGATCCTGGCTTTGACGTCCTCCTCTGTGCCTGTGCCGTCTGTAGTTGAGTGGATGCTGCCTAGGTAGGTAGGTAGGTAGGTGAAAGAGATAACTTGCTTTAGATTTCTCCCGTTGATGGTGATTGGTGCTTGTTGTTGTTGGTTGGGTATCTTCACCATCTCTGTCTTCTCTACGTCCACCTGAAGGAAGTTCTGTCTTCGTTCCCTCTCGCCTTCTGTCAACTTGTTAGTTTTCGTCTGTAGATCTTCGAGTTTGTGCGACGAGACATTAGACATAAATAATCATCGGCGAAATCCAGATGTTTTAAGGTCTTTTTATCGGTACAGCCAGCGTATGCCCATCTTCTCACAGCTCGTCACAGTTTCTTGCGTGATCGAGTCCAGTCCAGTCCAGTTGACCACAATCAGGAAGATCATGGATGATGGTGGGCGTCAACCTTGTTTTGTTTCTTCCTGTCTTCAGTTCAGAGGCGTCATTGAGCTTTCCATTGTGTTGTGAACCACTTGACATGTAGCATCATGTAGTATATAGCTGCTGTTGAATGAGGTTAATAAAGGTTTGTGGTACTAAAACCGTAGTGTTGAAGCAGTTTCCGGATTACTTCTTGGTCTATGCTGTCGAAGGCCTTCTGAAAATCGATGAAGTTGAGGTAGAGAGTTGACTGGCAATGTATGCTCTGTTCTATAGTGATGTATAGCGTAACACTGCAGCTTGATCTGCGTATTATTTGTTCTTCCTCAAGCCAACCATCCAGCCTGTTCCAGAGCATTTTTAGTCTCTTCAGGATGCTGCGGCTTGATATTTTGCTTGGGTGGACAGGGACGGAGCATGATTCCGCTCCAGTTCTTGCAAAGACTGAGGTCTCCCTTCTTTTGGAGTTTGACAAGGTATACCTTCTTCCAATCAATGGGCAGGTACCTTTCCTTCCTTCCAAACCTTCTGCATTGGTGGTGTGAGCATGTCCGCTGTTGTCTCTGTGTCTGTTTTCAGTGTTTCTGGTGGGATTCCATCTTGTCCTGCTGCTTTCGCGGATTTCAGCAACTTCATGGCGTTAAGGACTTCGGCTTTTGTCGGAGGGCTTGTGTTTACTGGTAATTCTGTGGCTGCTGGTGGTGTTTCTGGACGAGTTGCAGGTTGCGGTGGTGGTGGTCAATTCGAGTTTTTGAAGTGGGCAGCCCATTGTTTCTTTTGTTTCTCCTCTTTGGTAACTAGGTTTCCTTCACTACCATTGGTTTTATCTGTGTTGATCTCTTCCCTCCCACATAGTAACCTGGTTATTTGATACAGTGTTGTCAGGCCTCTCGTAGCTGCAGCCTGTTCTGCTTTACTTGCAAGTGTGTCGTAGAAGTGTCTTTTATCCTTCCGCGCACTCTTCTTCACTTTGTACAGTGTAGTGTTTTATAGGTTGTGTTCAGTTCCTCTTTCGTTGTTCATCCCTGCACTGCACTGGTTCATCTTCTGCTTCACCATCTTCCTCTCCCTCATCTATCAGCTTCCATATTTTCCTGGAGATCCATTCCTTGTCTTGCTTCTTCTTCCTTCCTAACACGGTTATGCAGGTTTCCTTCCACGTCTCTTTCAAAGAGTTCCAGTGTTCTTCCACTCAGGTTTCTTCACGGATGTTGCTCAGTGTCTCCCATTTTGTCCTGATGGCTGACGTGAATATGTCCTTTGTAGTTTTGTCCTTCAGTTCACTTTCTGTTCTGGGTGTTGAACTTGAACTATGGTCTATCACTAACGTCTTTGAAGGCTTTTAACTTGATTTTCAAGGCACATTGTTAGCACTAGATAAGTGAGTAGTGTGGACCTACCTTCATCTGCTCCTCTTCTTGAACTGATCTTGTGTCCAGTAAGCTGTCTCCACTTTCTTGAGACTGAGGTGAGGTTGATCTGATTTTTAGTGTCCTTCTGGTGAAATCAAATCCATGTCGCTCGCTTTGTGAATATTTTTGTGTTTGTGCACAGTGCCTCCAATCACCAAGTTATTAAATGCGCAAAAGCCTGCAAACTCCTCCATTCTCGTTCATTTCACCGATTGCCTCTCGACCCATGATGAGTTCTCCTCTTGTGTTGTCCGTTCTCAGTTTGGCATTCATGTCACCCCACCCATTGGGATTTTGATGTCGCCATGTGGGACGGCGTCTTGTCCAGTACCGATTGCAGCTACCTGTAGAATTCTTCCTTGTTCTCTTGATGTGCATTATTTGTAGGTGCACAGCGTAGCATTGTATGATTTTGACTTTTCTTCCTTTTCAGTTGAATCTTGCTGTCGTGATCCTGATACTAGAGGAGATTGGTTTCCACTGCATGAGAGCCTTTGGTGCAGTTGGGGACATCATAACAGCCACTCCAAAACTCAGTGTGCTCGTGTTTGTCGTCTGGGTGACAATATCGGAGTAGATTATCGACTCTCCAGTTAAGAGTTTGGAGAGTCCACTTCCATTCCATCTGCTTTCTCAGATTCCTAGCACTTATATGCCATACTTCCTTATCTCTTTTGCAATCTGGGCAGCATTGCTAGGTTCATACATGGTGCGGACTTCCGTGTCCCCATCCTTACTTTCGCTTTCATCAAGAGAAGACATATCGGCTGACTGGCTTCCTATAGGCGTTCACCAGCCGGCGTTATTTCTTCCCTCCGATTCCAGTGAGGAATTAGTTTGTTTTTATTTTTCATAACTTTTTTGTGCTTTGAAGTTTATTTAGCGATTGGATTGGTTTTCCGGAGTAGGGTTGCTAGCCCTATGCCCAACCTTTCCTCTTTATCCAGGCTTAGTACCGGGTAGTAACTAGTGAACTAGTTAGCTAGGCAAGGCTTGGATAAGACAAACTATGGTAATTCAAAAACTCATTTTCGTCCAGGTTATCTATAAATAGATCTTGTTGATTTATCTTACTGTCAACTTATGGACACTTTCAAAAAGAAAAACATTTACCGCTCGCTTCTGTTATAGGTATGTTTTCTGTACTTCGTTTATTCAATTTAGAACTGAAGTGGCATAACCTAAACCATCATTTATACTTGGGGAATCATCCATATATTTTTGTAAATTGGAACTTCAAGATATAATATAAGTCTTCAGATAGCTTTGTGAAATGCAACATAAATATTTACTGAAAAGGAACTCAAGGAGTTTGCCATAGCCTCACCATCAGGCTGACAACATTAAGAAATTTAATTATAATTGCATTGCCTTAATTAACATTTCCAATTTTTATATAAAGTATTCGACAAGCTCATGTGTGATCAGATTACTTAAGATATATAGCGCCAATACATTGGATTCCTCAGATAATCTGCATCTTTTAATCACGTTGTTTTAATTTATCAAGGGGACTAATTGTTTCAAGACTCTTTGTTGTCATTCATAACCTAAGCGGGTTTACCCTGTATTTTACGTAAAATTTGTATAGTTATAAAGCCAGTACAGTTTCACAGACATTCTATGCCGTTCGGAATATTTTCTGATAAGTAGATGCTACGTAATGGTGGTCGGATTTTCATATCACAGTGACAACGAGCTATGCCGGCTGGAACGCTTGCTCCTTAAGGTCCATTCCACAAAGGTCTGTTGCATAGTAGAACATTCAAATGCGGAGTAAATCGCTACTGGATGGTGGGGATTCGAAGGTGACAGGGGTACGGTGTTTCCTGCGAATGACCAGCTGCACGATACTGATGTTATCCTCTAATGTTAAGAGAGGGCCCGTAGAAAAGGTCGACCCCCGAAATACTATACTCTTCCCTCTCCTGCGGTATTCTGATGACAGTAGTATGAGTTTTTCTTGTCCGATGTTAGCACAGTCGAATCTCAATCTAAAAACACATAAAGGACCGTGTGTGTTATGCCTCAAGCATATGTCTTTTAAGCTCTACAGGCACCCAGTGAAACAACTTCCACGACGTGGGTAGCTGGAAGTATCGACCGCCCACATGTTTCCAGCAGTAAACGAAACCTACTCAATCATGACCTACCAACCTTACCTGCCTTTTCCCTTGCTTCCACCTCCTTATACCAGTATTAAGTCTCTTACAACTTGGTTGGCCCCACCCCAGCGATTTGAGTTAGCGAAACACCATTACTAGTTTCCTAAAACCCCACTGTTGTTTACCGATTGAGTTTTTGTAATGTCCAAATCCCATACCAAACCGGACAGCATGAGTCGAGCCACGTGTATATGTTGTGTCTGTGAAGTACCTCATCTGACCAGCACTGTGAATCTACAAAATTTACTTTACGGGTGTCCAGAGATTCGATGACCAGCTCTCATGGACCTGTTGATGTAGGCTTGAGATTAATTTACTTAGTAGAAAGCGCACTTCTCGACAACCATCTGTGTGCTATCTGCCTGAAGAGATCTGTGGAAAACAGAAGGCATTTTGAGACTTATCGACACCTGTTGGTAATCTCCGCATACGTGTCCAGCGACTTCAGTTCGGATAATGCACGAGATAAATTGTATCAAAAGCTATTAGCTTTGCTACACAAAGCAAAACTTTAAGATACAGTCATAGTGGCAGTTGTTTTTAACGCTCAACTAGAGAAGCTTGGCCAATCAAAAAAGCATTTTGGAGGTAGCTACGGAATCCCACTGCAGCGAATCGATAACGGTGACTGCCTATTGCAATGTTATTCTGACAACCACTTGTTTCTCGCCAGCACTAACTTGGAGCATAAGAAGAGACACTGTCTTACTTGACATCCACTGACACCAAGCCAGCTTTAAGCCATCGTTAGAGAGGGTTGGTGTAGGATTGCCGCTCTTTTTCTAGTGCTTATTTGGAATGCGATCACGCGTCAGTACGGAGACGATTATATTTACACCCAATTGGTCGCAAGAAACAGACGAGAGCAGAGTTTGTGTACGCTTAATTAGAAGATGAGAACCCCAAGTACATATTTAGGGAGGAGATAGGCAAGCATTTATCCGAATGTGGCAGCAATCCTTATCCTGGTGAAGCCTAGCATGATATTAGGACTGATGTAAAAACAGAGGTAACCTACATCGAAAGGTTAGCGACGGCAAGCGGATTTCCCCTACCGCATTCCCACCGGTTCTGACTACAATGTAAAGCGAAAGCAATTTAAGCCTAAATCAACCGGTAGTCTTCGCAACGATCGCGAACACTGTTGGTGGTTAAAGCAATAGAAATAGAGAGGACATCAGCGTTGGGTAACGCCTGCGAAGTGTTTACGTTCATTAAAAATAGCTGCAAGAAGAAGACAATGGTGAGTAAAACCATCACCAAAAAGGATGGGATACTGGTAACCAACCAGAACAGGTGACTAGAATGTTGGACAGAACACTAAGCGCGGTCCAACTTCCCGTCGGCAACTCTTCAGTTGCTCAACATCCAGTCTGGACGTGAATGGGACGTAGATGTTGCTACCCTAGCTCTCCTCGAAGTCCAAGAGTCTGTTTTGAACCTGAAACGATACAAAGCAGCAGGGCCTGACAGTTTACCACCATAAGTTTTTGAGGATGAAGGCAAGAAATTACCCACTAGAGTAATGGAGGTAGTAGGGAACGCATGGGAATCGGAGGTATTCTCATCGGACTAACCTGCTTAACTAATCATTTTAGTCTATAAAAAAAGGTTATTCTATAACAACCATTGCGGAATGAGTTTGACTAATACTGCGTCCAATATTCTGAGGTCAATAGTTATCCGACACCCAGCTGGAGCTTGAGAAAACCTTGCAGGTTTCAGATCTGGACGAGGGTGCATCGATCAGATTTTCACCTTTCCACAGGTCCTGCAACCCAGACATTACCTACCGGTGACCGACACTTGCCATATTTCCTGACCTGAAAACGACATTTGACCCTGTCCGAGCGTGAAGTGTTGTAGCAGTATCTGACCGTTAATTGAGAACCGAAAAAGTATAAATGACTAATCGAAGCTCTCTACGCGAACTCACGCAGTCGTGTTAGGGCTTGTGAATTGATGACAACTGATGGTTTCCGACAGGGACGCCTACTGTCACCGTTCCTATTTAATTTCGTCGTGGACATAGTAATGGGCACAACGTTAGGTACATCTGACTTCAGAGGCCTTGATCTACTCCGTGGAGGTCCTCTGGTTGACTTGGAGTATGCAGAAGACATCGTTCTGCTTGGTGAAGATGCTGGGAAAATGCAGGGTCTAAAGGCGTAGGGCAGAAATCTGAGTGTTTGGCTGGCATGCGCTTCACACCTGTCAAATGTAATATGATGCTTTGAGACTGGTCTGTTGCAAGTACTCCCAGTTTAATGATAAGGGGTGAAGTTGTAGAATCTGTCGGTCGCTTTACTTAGGGAGTTGAATCAACCCGAATGGGCTGGTTGCTGACAAAATCTTAGCTCGGATACAGATTGCCCGTTTGGGATTCACGAGATTGTGTCACCTGTGGCTTCAACTGGCGAGATATCCGACTGCCCATTAAAGGGCAAGTATACTACGCTGCAGTTCGTTTCGTTCTGTTTTACGGCTGTGAGACATGGCTGTTAAAAGTATAAGATATGAAGCAGTTACAGGGTTATGATAATAGGTGTCTTTGTAGCATTGCTCAGGTTTGGTGGAATCACTATATGAGCGATATCGAGGTTAGGCGATGCATGCTAAACAAGACAATTAAATCGGTCGATGAGACTGTGAACCTTCATCGACTGTGGTAGCTTGAACATGTATTGCGTGTACTGAGCCACCCCTTACATCAACATACAATTTTCATCGAAGTTGGATTATCCTGAAAGAAGTATGATGGTTGTCATTTCAAAAAGTGGCTTCGGTCCTCCTAGATCCCCACAGCATATGTTTGAAAATACCACATCCCACTGTATTTACCAATTTAAATATACGTATGGTGACATATAAAGACTGAGATCCAAACAAGTTTGGATTGCAGAGCATATTCTAAGATGACTTCAAAAGCAAGCCCATAAACTTCGGTGGCAGACGTCCAGACTCTTCAATTTTGAAACATCATTGAGACAAGTCAGAGGATTGAATATACCCCGTGAATTTTTCGAGTCTCTATCTATCCCGGAGTTTATACCACCTTTATATGTCAAAAAGCGGTGGGTCATTACATTAAAGCCTGCTCATTGAATATTGCTTAAAAACTTAGGTCTATGTACCATTATTTTTAATCGTTTGGTTTTTGTTTCTAGTTTGGCATTCAATTTATCCTTTCTACTTGACTTATCTCCACATCCTCACTCCTAATCTCTTTATAACCTTTCATATAAGCACCTATGATAGGTACTGGTGCGATCAGATTGCTTGAAATGTGTTGCGCTAATACACACTAGTCGATCCAGACGAGTAAGATCTTATAGTTTTGTCGAGGTATATAGAGGGAGCTGATGGTTTTAAAATAGTGTCATATTTTGTTTGTATGATGTTTTGTGACTCTGTTCATTGTTTTGTTTTCAAAAAAATACTGAACCAAGTTTCACGAAAACAGTAACATGTTTGAAACTTTGAAAAACTGGATAGACTGATGCTTCCACTGTAACTTAAAGATGTTAATCAGTACTAATCGTTTTAAGTCTTGGTGTCTGATATATGCATTGCTTATCTCTCTAAACTCAGCCACTGAACTACGGACTCATTCTCCTGTCAACTCTATGACTTTGAAAGCTTGATTATATCATTCACTT